GTCTGCCTTAAGACTCCAGATACCCGAGATCCCTTGCACCCATCTGTCCCCTTGATGCCCACCATCTTCAGTCTGTGGCTATCCTACAAGAAACCTGTATCCATAGAGCAATCCATTCTCCTCCCCTCAAGCCCTGGCAACCACTAATCTACCTTCTCTGTCTCTATGGATTTGCCTATTCTGAACATTTCATAAAAAATAGGATCACATACACTGTCTTTTGTGGTTTTCATTTAGTGTGTTTCTAGGTTCATCCACATCATAGGTTAAGTCAGCACTTCATTCTTTATTGCGGGATAATATTGTATAGTTTGGATGTATCATATTTATTATTCAGCAGTTGATGGACATTTGGGCTGTATCTATGTTGACTATTATGAATAATGCTCAATGAACATTGGTATATAAGTTTTTGTGTGGACATGTTTTCAATTCTCCTGGGTATACATCTACCTAGGAGTGGAATTGCTGGATCATAAGGAAACTTTATGCTTAACTTTTTGAGAAACTGCCAGACTGTTTTCCAAAGTGATTGCCATATATAATCTCCTTTTCACAGACAAGACTGAGGCCCAGAGAGGGGAAGTGTCTTATGCAAAGCTACACACTCAGAGAGCAGGAGCTAATCACCTAAATGGCCTCAACTCCACCTGCACTCTCTCCTTTGATTTCACTACCATCTATCTATCTCACTGTCACACTCACACTCCTCACGCCCACTTTACCCCTCCATTCCTTTCCCCATCCAGCAGCAAATCCCCTCACCAGTCCTTCCCAGAGGCTTCCACTGCCCTATCAGGATCAAGTGCTCCTCTGTGGAATGATTTACAAGCTCTGCCATCTAGATCAGCGATCGCCAATCGGTGGTCCGGGAGGTCCGAAAGGTTGGTGACTGCTATCTAGATGGCCCTACTCAAGACATTGTTCTTTTGTGTTTTTTTAAAAATATATTTTTATTGATTTGTTTGCAGAGAGGAAGGGAGAGGGATAGAGAGTTAGAAACATCGATGCGAGAGAAACATCGATCAGCTGCATCCTGCACACCCCCTACTGGGGATGTGCCCGCAACCAAGGCACATGCCCTTGACTGGAATCGAACCTGGGACCTTTCAGTCTGCAGGCCGATGCTCTATCAACCAGTTGGGGCTGTTCTTTTGTTTTTAAGCAGCTCTACCTGAAGCTAACAGACCATTGGCCATTTTAGTCGAGTCAGTTCACATTCCTTTTTTTAAAAAACTTCTTAAGCTAGGTTGAGTTCAGTTTCTGTCACTTATGTGAGGAACTGCAAGTTCCTCACATAAGTAATCCTCCGTCAGTCACTTATTACATTCCGTCGCAACCTCGATCTTTCCATACATACCACACCACTGCCCACTTCCTGGGGATGCAATGAATTGTGGACATTTTAGTATGTGGGCCTTTGCTGGTTCTGTTCCCTCTGCTTTGGACACTCTTCTACACTGAACCCTCGGTCCTTGAATATTTTGTTTAAACAACTATTTTGAATATCGGTATTTTTTACCTTGGATCTGTGGGTCACTGTGAATAGGCTCTGGAGGGTCTACCAATACCCCTGGGGTTACCTGAGACATGTGTCTGTGCCCATGTGTATTACTCTGGAGGAGAGGGTCAGAGCTTCCATCAGATTCCAAAGACGTTCTGTGACCCAAAGATTAAGAACCACCCATTTCTGCCCAGCTGGCATGGCTCAGTGGTTGAGCATTGACCTATGAACCAGGAGGTCATGGTTCAATTCCTGGTCAGGGCATTTTTTTAATGCCTGGGTTGTGGGCTTGATCCCCAGTGAAGGGCAGGCAGGAGGCAGCTGATCAATAATTCTCTCATCACTGATGTTTCTCTCTCTCTCTCCCTTCCTCTCTGAAATCATAATATATTTTTACATTTGACTTAAAAAACCAACAACATCCATTTCTTATGTGTGTCTCTTATGAATTCACTGAGGGCAAGGATCACACTTTTTACCTATACTCTTCAGCACTTTTCCACAACAGACACTCCTACCTATTGTCAAAGGCTGTTAATGACCCACAGAGGCAACATTTTTACAGGCAAAGAAGAGAAAACAGGATGGTTTAATTTGTAGAGTCAAGAGTTGTTTGTTCTTGATTACAGCGTTCAACATGCAAATTACATTCACCTGTTGGTACAGAAATGGCACCCTGCCACTTTCCTGGGAATTAACCCAGACAAAATTCTTCCTGGGCAACCCTTAACTATGTGTCTGCCAGCAATCGCCCTCTCTCACTTCTTACAGTGATACGTAAACTCTCTTATGCAGAATGACTAGGAAATGCTTTCATTCAACTGAGCAGCCATATACAGTATAGCACCATTGATTTGTCAATGGATTTGATGTATTCTGACCTCCAGATCAAGACCTCACATTATTTAACCTGTCTTTAATGATCCCAAAGGCACTTGAGAATCCGGCAGTGTCTCACAGTCACTGATTTTCACTGGACAGTATTATGAGATAGCGAAGGTTTCCTAAGTCTGTCCTGGCCCTGGGTATTCACTCTGAAAAAGATTTATCTGAATAAGGTTTTGACACATTTGCTTTTTATGTCATTCTGTAGGCTCAAAATGAATATAGGGAGCTTCACTTTTTGCTCATCCATAGTTCTTAAATTTTCTGTAATGAAAATGTATTATTTGTGTAAAGAAAGTTATAAAAATACTAACAAAAAATTAAAGGTAAAATGCAGGGTGTTTGGATCCCAAGAAAAAAGGAGTCTACTGTGGTTAGAAGTCAGGCTGACTACACATAATAATTAGGTATAATTGAAAACTCCTTTTCCAAAGACTGTATTTTTGCTAAGTTTTATATATTATCACTAGCTTGAGTTTTCCCCCTTTCTCTGACTTTCATTACTAGAGTCACCAGATGGAAAATTTAAAACATTTTAAAAATAGCTGTTTCTGGGTAAGTCACCCAGCACACACTCCTTGTGTTTCCTCTAGTTTCATACATAAAGGGGAACCGGCTCAGACAAGAATGATCCTTGCTGCACATCCGCCAGCTCATGCATCCTCCTTTTTATTCCGAGAGGCTCCTGCTCAAACGAAAGTTACAAGGTTAAGCGCTACTCCGAGTTCCTGACACAGCTAATTCCTGCTTGGTCTTCAAAAAATAGAGGTCTGTAATTCCTTTTTGAACATGCCTTCGAAGTGGAGGTCTTTGGCCATGAGTTCCTCTTCGACATCATCTAGGGCCCACTGGTGATCTGTCAGCTCCAAGGCTTCCCACTCTGTCTGCAAAGAAAGAGAACACCAGGGCAGGGAGAGGGGGCAGAAGGGCTGTTACTAAGAGCAGTGCTGACCTTTGTGAGCGTCTACTCTGGGCCAGGGGCTGGGTGAGGCTGTTTACATGTATAAGCTCAGGTGCTGCCATCCATCCCAATCCCCAATTTACAGACAAGGAGACAAAAGCTAAGAAAGGTAAAATATTTGTTTAAGGTCACCGGAGCTAGTAACTAATTACATTTCTCAAATAGTTTATTAATGCTGAATACTTTGCCTTTAATTAGTGGGCTCTAAAAATATGCTTTGTGAAATTTAACATGCAAGACAAGTGTTAGTTCATGGGTGTGTTCATTTTATGTCATGTGGTAATTCACATGGCATAAAAGTCACTCATTTAATATATGCAATTTAGTGGTTTTTAACATATTCACAAAGACGTGCAACCATCACCACTACCTAATTCCAGAACACTTTCATCAGGTTTCAGAAAAAGAAACTTCCTATCAAATAGCAGACACTCCTCTTTATCCCTTTCCCCCAACCTCTTCAAATACTCTACTTTCTATATCTTTCTAGTCTACACATCACACATGCCTGTTATTACTGGTTTCTTTCACTTAGCATGCTTTTAAGGTTCCTCCCTAATTGTACCAGGATTCAGTACTCATCCCTTTTGATGGCTGAATAATATTCCATTGTATACATTCCATTGTCTAGACATTGTGCACATATACCAAAATGCTCCATTTTGTTTTTCTGTTCATCAGATGATGGACATTTGGATTGCTTATACTTTTTGACTATTATAAATAGTACTTTGAACACTCTCGTATAAGTTTTTGTGTGGACATAGGTTTTTAATTTTCTTGGGTATTTACCTAAGCATGGAATTGCTAGGTCATATGGTAAATATTTTTAACTTTTTTTTTTAATTTTAATTTTATTTTCTTTTTTCTTTTTTTTTATTTTTAACTTTTTGAAGAAAGGCTAAAAACTGCTTTCCGAAGTGGCTTCATCATTACCACCATACATGAGATTTTCAATTTCTCCATATCCTTGTCAATACTTGTTATTGTCCATCTTCTTTTATTACTGAGTGGGTGTGAAGTGGTGTCTCTTTGTGATTTTGATTTGCATCTTCCTTTCTAATCTGTTTCTTTTCCTGGACTAACTTTCCTGGCTAGAACCTGCAGAACAGTGTTGAATAGTGGCAAGAGTGGACATTCCTGTCTTGTTCCTGATCTTAGAGGAAAAGCTTTCAATATGAGTATGGGTATTTCATAGATACCTTTCACCAAGATGAGCAAGTTCCCTTCTATTCCTAGTTCTTATGATGAAAAATTAGTGAAATTCTGCTGTACAAAAATTATACTCAATTTTATAAATTATAAAATCATTTCATGAAAAGGCTCTAGGTACTGAATTTTTTTTTTTCTAGGTACTGAATTTTTTTAATGAAATTTTCATCTGATGTCTACAGGGTCCAAAAGTTAAAAAATATTCCAAATGTTTACAGTGCCTCTGACTGAACTGTTTTTACAGCATCATTTAGTGTAGAATGAATTTGGTGAGCATTTAAAAACTAGGAAAAGTACCAAGAATCTCAAATTTACTTAGATGATTCCCTCAGGAGAAAGAGACATAAAAACTAAAATACATTTTTGCTAAATTTAAATAATGGAATAATGGACACTACACTCACTTCAGAGAACCCATCTTTAAAGTTACTCTGAATGCCTTTTGGAGCTTCAGTGAAGCTGGAAGAAGTGAGTGTACCTTGAAAGCTTTGTTGGTGTCTGCGGGCATGGCCATGGCTGCTCCAGTCATCTGCTCCTGCATCATCCGTGATTGGTCAGCGGCTGCAGAGTAAGATGCACCTATATGAGCCCCAGGGCTTAGCAGCAACCTGTATGCTCTGGAGGAACGGTCCTTACACAAAACTTACAGATGCTCAGTAGTGGGTTAGAGAGCCATATGACACATTCACTGACTGGCCCTACCTTGCACTGGCTGTGTGATCCCGGAAAAGTCACTTTACTTCTCGTGAAAAATGGGGGTGATAATAGCAGGAGAAGAAAGGTAACTAAGAAAGCCCTAAACTTTACTTCAAATTTAAACAATAATAACAGCCACCAGTTACTGAACGACTACTATCTGCCAAATACTTCACTAGATACTTTACAGATTCTACCACATCTACTCCTAACAACAAACCCTGAAGTTAATTATTAAGGTTCCTATTTTACATCAGAGGATTAGAGAGGTTAAGTAGCTTGGCTGAGTTCCCAGCCATTAAGTGAGACAGTTAGGACAAGTACTGGCAAGAAATCTCGTCAATGCACTAACTGATCAAACTAGGCCTTCTTTCAGCTTCCTTTTTGCAGGCTTATATTGCTGGTGTGGATCCCTCATTTTGAGGATATCAGACTGTTAGGGACTACATCTTGTCCCTGTTATTGCCAGGGAGATCTCACATCTTCAGTTTGACCCTAGAATTTTTAAGACTGTTTTTAGAATACCTCAGAAACTTAGTAGTTTAAAGAATGAAGGACTGTATTTGACTATGCTAACAAATAGCACATGATTTTTTTGACTCTGGCATGGATGATTCATCTATCAGAGTATTTGCTTATTAAATCTGATGTGCTCCTTACCATTATCTTGGCCCAAAATCAGAGAGTAAATGCTCCGAAGTCCAAAGACATTGAGGAAATACCAGGATGCAGAACTCACCCTAAAGCAAAAGTGAAGCAACGTAGGTAGTTATGTCAGAACTAATGCAATTCATACTTTTCTAACACCCAAAGTTGTCTAGAGTATGTAAGAAATCACCGGGGGTAAGCTATATTCATTCAAAGCACAACCAAAGAAGAAATACAAGTTGTGAAGGCAATGTTACAAATAGTTATAGCTTACTGCAGGTAAAGTGCCACTTAGAGCTATGTAATAAATTCTGCCTTCAGTAGCAGAAACTGAATTCACAACTGGTGTGCTTCCATTTAATCAGGGACTGTAAGCTTTGCTTAATTTTCCTTTCTACATAATGGGTTTTCAAACCATTCATTATTTTTAATTATAAAAACACACTTGCTATAAATAATGAATGCAAACAATGCAGAAGTACATACAATAAGAAGTTCTGACTCCCAAGTTGTAGATCTACATGTAACAGTAAGCTAGTTGTATACCCACGTTCCAGTCTCCTTTGTCCACACAAGCATGTCAGTCACAGATGCTGAGAAAAGATTTAAAAAGTTTTTCTTGCACATAAAGTTTTTGCTTGGCCCAAATGAGTCTGGAAGGTCGAGGTTCAGTAGAGTCATGCTACTTATAGTAACTATAGCTTTTCTCCTCCAGTGGAATTGTGCTCAGCCAAGACTCTCTAGCACCCAGTCTGGCCTGCTCCTCTCGTACAACCACTGGTTTGCTCACTTCAGGGGTTACCACTGGAAGTTACCCATTCTTCTCCTCTTGCCTGGCTTCCTTTTTTTGTTGTTAATCCTCACTCGAGAGTATTTTTCCATTGATTTTTAGGGAGAGTGGAAGAGAGAGGGAAAGACAGAGAAATATTGATGTGAGAGAAACACATCGACTGGTTGCCTCTTGCACATGCCCCGACCAGGGCCCAGGCTGGGGAGGAGCCTGCTTCGTTTTTAATGCCAGTCTCTGGGAAGCCACAGACAAAACAGTCTGGGGAGACCATATGAAGAAGCACTACTGGGCTCTACATGTGGTAGCAGTGTTCTATGAGCCTTTCAAATTTTGTGTTTTATTACTCTGCTATAAAAAATAATGGTAAATAAGATATGAGTGCTGGACTTGGACAGACGGTGTGGTCAAATCTCAATTTCTCCACTTATTTCATAGGGTTGCTATGAGGATAAAAATAAGATAATATGTAGAAAGCATCTAGTACAGTGCCTGGTACCAATGTAAAGGTTTAATGTTATTATCAGTAGTAATGTATTTTGGAAAAAATAATACAAACATCTACTCCCATATGCTCCAGGGCATTGCTAAAAGGTCTGTCTAGCTTTATCTTTTAACTTTTTGGGAATACATACATCTACCCCTGCACTCCTAAGACCCCAGCACCTAGAGAAAAGAGGCTAAAACCTTCTCTCCTTTTGTAAGACTCAGAGAAAGTCCTTACCAGGATGCATCTAATGTGAGTAATTCAATTCCTTGCTGTAGCATCGGCTTAAAACGGAGGGTCAGTGGAAATGGGACCTTGGCTGCAAAGAAAGAAAAGTTCATAATCAGTCCCAGCTTCTTTATTTTTAGAAGAGTAAAATTGTGAATGCATCTATTCTTTCCCTGAAGAGGTGGGAACTCCGGACCGTACAGAGTTTGGCAAAAGATTTCCACAAGGAAATTTGTCACTTTCTGGAGAAATACATCCAATGTCACTCTTCCTTGAATACTAGCTTCTCTATTGCTTAAGAAGCAGGAACTCAAACTGAGCTGTGACCTAAAAATCTCAAAAGAAACATGCACTAATCTGTTAAACATAAAGTGGGATAAATATATACACAGAGAACTACATTACTAAGAAACCGAATTAAGCCGAAACCGGTTTGGCTCAGTGGATAGAGCGTCAGCCTGCGGACTGAAGGGTCCCAGGTTCGATTCCGGTCAAGGGCATGTACCTGGGTTGTGGGCACATCCCCAGTAGGAGGTGTGCAGGAGGCAGCTAATCGATGTTTCTCTCTCATCGACCAAATCCTAGCACCATCATTGCTCACCCTGATGCTAAAAATAGCTACCAAGCTTTCCCTCCCCATTCTCTATTAAGTAACCAGAGTGTTCTTTTTGAAATGGAAAAATCTGGTGATGTCTCAGCCTTACTTAAAATCCTTAGTAACTGAGAATAAAACATCCACATAACCCTCTGAGCCTTGTATTACTTGGCATCCGCCTCCAGAAGGTCTTGGAGAACCAGTCTCATCCCATGACAGTCCCCACTACTCCCACTGCTTGGCCCCTCTCTCCACCCCACCAAGGGCCATCTGCACTTCTTCCTTCAACAACTTACACAAGCCATGCTACCCCAAGCCTCAAGGCCTTCTCTCATACTTTCTCTTAGCCCGGAACCCTTAGCCTCACTGTGGTGTTACTGGTTCCTACTTATCTTTCACATCTCAGCTTAAATATCTACCATTTTGAAAGACCCTGACTTCTCCAGGATGTAGATGGTTCCCCTGAGCCTACTCTCTAACATTTTTAACTGTTTCATATCCTTCCATCATTTTATTTACACACATACACAGAGTGGTTTCTCTCCATAGATACACAATAGAGGGATACTATGCTTACTCTTCTCTTTTTTTGTTTTGTTTTTTAGGTTCACCTGAGGATATGTTTATTGATTTTAGAGAGTGAGGGAGAGAAACATCGATGTGAGAAACACTGACCGGTTCCCTTCCATACCCACCCCAACCAGGGATCAAACCTGCAACCTAGGTTATGTGCTCTGACTGGGAATCAAACCCACAACATTTTGATGTACAGAATGACGCTCCAACCAACTGAGCCACCAGGCCAGGGCACTATTCTGCTTCTTAATTTAAAAAAATTAATATGTTGTGAATGCTATTTGCACATTGGTATAATAACTCTCTCATTATTTTTAATGTCTGCCTAGGAATCCGCAATGTGGTCACAGGCATCACTACTGGGTGAACCTATATATCAGTGATGGTGAACCTTTTGAGCTCAGTGTGTCAACATCTGGAAAAACCCTAACTTAACTCTGGTGCCGTGTCACATATAGAAATTTTTTGATATTTGCAACCATAGTAAAACAAAGATTTATATTTTTGATATTTATTTTATATATTTAAATGCCATTTAACAAAGAAAAATCAACCAAAAAAAATGAGTTCACGTGTCACCTCTGACACACGTCATCGGTTTGCCATCACTGCTATAGATTGTTTCCTTTTTTTTTTGCCAATAAACAATGCCATCAAAAACTACCTTGTACATAAGTCTGCATATTTTTGTCGATACTGTCAGATTGTCCTTCAAAAATAGTGAGAGAGCCTCACTTCCCATGACCTTGACAGTAGCAACTTTGGTCAAGCTTTCAATCTTTGCCAATTTAATGGGCTATAAAGGACATCTTGTTTTAATTTGCATTCCATAGATTTTAGTAGGTCAAGCATCTTTTTGTAAATTTATTGTTTTTTTTGTTTATTGTAGGTTTTCTGAAAGATTTATATTAACTTCTGTTTGGGTTTAAAATAGCTGGTAATTTCACCTAAAGAAATGGATACTAAAATGAGAGGACAGTCAATATGGGATAATAAATTTTGTTTCACTTTAAAATGCTGTGTTTTTCACATGACAGGGATCAGTGAAAGTAAGAAATCCATTAGAGTAAAAATTGTAGGATGGCCAATAGCTGGTCTGGGGAAGTAGAGAGAGCTCTTCCTCATCCAAGCAGAGGCTGGGTGGCTATCTGTCAGCAACAGGAGCCAGGCACTGGGTGGGAGCCCCAGCTTTTCCAACTGTGCTCAGTGCAGCCCTGGGTCCTGAGAAACAGCAAAGGGAAGAGACTCAGAGACGATGGCTCTAGTCCTTTCAATCCCTTAGCTGAGAGCTCTTTCTTTCTTTATTTTTATTTTTTAAAAATTTATTTGAGAGAGAGAGAGAGGAAGGGAAAAAGGGAGAAAAACATCGATTTTTTTTTTGGTTCCACTTATGCATTCATTGGTTGACTCTTGTATGTGCCCTGACAGGGATCGAACCCACCAACTTAAGTGTTATCAGGACGATATTCTAACCAACTGAGCTACCCAGCCAGGGCGTGAGAGCTCTCTCTCTTTTTTTTTTTTTTTTGTTAATCCTCACCCAAGGATATTTTTTTCCATTGCTTTTCAGAGAGAGTGGAAGAAAAGGAGGGAGGAAGAGGGGGAGAGAGAAAGAGAAAAACATTGATGTGAGAGGGACACATTGACTGGTTGCCTCCCCACACACCCCAACCAGGGATGGGGAGCAAACTGCAACCCAGGTATGTACCCTTGACTGGGAATCGAGTCTGAGACCCCTTGGTGCACCGGCGGATGCTCTAACCACTGAGAAACACCAGCCAGGCCTGAGAGCTCTTTTTTAGATCCACTTTATATTTTGGAGTACCCAGAACATTTATTTAGAAAAGAGAACACTACTTCTGCAGATTGCTATACTAGATGATATCTAAGGTCCCTTAGATTACTATCTTCAACAATTTAACACTGAAATCAAATGACACATTCTAACTCCCTCCTCCCCCAACTCATGTTAAAAATCTTCCTTAAAGATGAGAGAAAAGAATAAACATACCAGTCATAGGAGAAGGAGGTACTACCTTCCTTTTAGTTTTTTTGAAAAATCCATCCTCTGGGTTGTTGAAATAATATTTTCGTGTCAGGAAAGACTAGTAGGAAAAAAAGAGCTTTTTAAATCTTAAAACTGTGACATAGCAAACTGTAAAATTATTCCCCAGAGGTTTGGTCAGAAGGCCCTTGAAATATGTTGTTACACTAAGAGCTGACAGCCTACTTGGCAGCTGAGCTGACATTTTAGCTGAGTCACATTTTAAAACAATTTTCTAAGAAGGATGAGGTCACAATGACAGCAAACACCATCAGGCCACAGCTTAATTCCTGACTTGCCAGCCTTCAGTTTTCCCCAAAGAGTCCCCTTATAAAACAGTCTGATATCTACTGCCTTCAACAGTGAATCTTGGTACTTTAAATAAAAGATAAATGAGTACCTGTTTGGGAATGTATTTTCCATTTTCCCTGAGGACTCTGCTTCGAATTAGGACTTGACTGAAAAATACAACCAAGACAATGAGATTTTTATAAAAGCGAAACACTAGAAGAAAACAAGAGAATAAAGTAGAAGACCTATTTAAGCACAAGAGAGGGCCTATTTGGCCACAGTCCGGTATGGAAACTTTTCAAACTACAAGTATCCTTAAAACCAATCTAACAACCCCCAAATCAGGTTTTCAAAAGAGCATTTTTCAGAAGTGACTGTGTTTCTGAACAAAGATTTCTGAAGAAGGCACATTTGGAATACTCACCTTTCTCTTAATTTATGAGGTAAGAAGGCACTTTCTCTGAGTGAAAAGAGTAGCAGTTGGATGCTTCTCAGATGATTTGGAGGCAGGAGGAGGGAGGAAGGGTGAGGATTGAGGGAACTTTTTAAGTCCCAAAGAGAAATGAGTACAGGACTTGACAGGGTTGCTATCTGACACACAACAAATAGAAATCCCACCCAGTACTCAGACGGTTAGTAAGCTCTCAATAAACATTTATTAAATAAAGTAACAAGTGAAATTATTTGGTGATATTTTAACATAATTGATCATTAAAGATAACAGTGCAATACAAGTGGGTGGTGCTAAGCTACAAATAGTAAACAGAATAGTGATCAAAACACTAATTTTTTCTTGGTTTTCAAAAGCTTTTAAAAAATTTATTGATTTTAGAGAGAAGGGAGATAGAGAAACATTGATTTGTTGTTTCACTTATTGGTTAATTCTTGTATGTGCCCTGAAGATCAAACCAGGAACCAGGAAACCAGTATTGGGACAACACTCTAACCATCTGAGCTACCGGGCAAGGGCATTCAAAAGTTGTTTTAATTGGGGGGCTTGAGGGGGAGCCTACTTAGCTTAATGGAAATCTTTCTTGAAAAGTGGGGGAAAAGATTGTAACAGAAATGAACACAAGAAAACTGTGCTTGGTTTTCTCTCTACTCCTCAGTATAAGCCACCTGCTCTAAGCAGTAGGTCAATACCCTTAGGATCTCCTTGTCATGTTCTAGCTTTCTCCATACGCTGGGAATTCTCTAGTGCCCCTCTCCTTCACCTTCTTCAAGCTCCGCCTTTTCTATGAAACTCTTCCCAATGCCTGGTGCCCTCATGCAATTCTCTCTGGTGTTCCTCCTCCTGACCTCGTTGTACTATACGGTTGACTACTCCATACACAGGCTTACAGAGGTGACATATAATATGTTCTGTTCCCTGGGAGCTAGTCTAAAACTACTCAAAGTGTGGCCTATGTACCAATGCTGATCTGTGATAAGGGTTTAGAAAAGTTTATAATTTGACATTGTTATAAGATCTAAATACGTGATCAAAATATTTTATAAAAGCATCAGTCTGTGATAGATTGGAAATTAAAAAATTAAATCAAGGCAAGCTTTAATTATCCTGTATATTATAAGCACTCACTTTCTTAAACTGAGATCCAGAGATGTATTCTCTGAGATTTGCAAACCCTACAAGAAATTTTTAATTTTGCATCTTCATTTCCATTAATATCTAAAAATAAGTCCTAGTACTGGTTATAAAGAAAAAGCTTTTCTTCACAGTGGTAATTTGCAACTGAAAGACATTTTCTTAAAAGTTTAGTTTTTAAAGTTATTATTTCTCAAAGTGGAGTTCCATATCCTTAAAGATCAGGGTGTTTTTGTTGCGTTTTTTTTTTTCCTTTCAGAGTCAGTATATTCTTCAAGTTTGAGAACTACTTTTTACATACATTCTATCCTTAAATATGGTCTAATAAATTTTATTTATGCATTTTTCAGGTTTGGTTTAACACATTTTAGAAAAATTTTAATAAGTTTCGAGGCAGTAAAAGCTTAATAATTTATGAAACCCAACATTCCATTTTGTGATCATTCAGGTTATTGGAAACTTATACTGTATTTAGAGGAATGTTTTACAACTAAAGGACATCTTTTGCCTTGGACTTCGGCCAGTTCAGAATCATGTGGTCAGCATTCTACTCAAGTTCAAATGATGACCTGGTGGGGTATAGTCATACCATGTCAGAGATGGCATGATTTCACTTAAGGGATGGAGCAATTATGACCAGAAATGTTGAGTTTTCTTTAAAGCAGTGGTTCTTCATGTAAGTGGCACTGCCCTCTAGAGGGCCTAATGGAAACCTGTGGAATTTAGAGTGTCAAAGTTAAGGGATGGAGAGAGAGCACACAACTAAGTATTCCTCAGTGCTGGGGACAGATGTGCAATACAAAGAACTGTCCCGTCTCACACTACTTGTGATATCTCATCAAACTGGTTCTAATTATCTGAGCCTCAAACCTAATTCCATTTTTTGCAATGGTTGAGAGGGATGATATTTATATATACTGAATTTCCAGATACGCAACCAGCCTGTAAATATAGGAAAAACTGCACTTTGTTGTGTTCAGAATTTTATCAAGGGTAGTTCACCACTTAGGAAAATCACATCCAAACACTGCCTTCTGTTACATCTAAGTAGCTAACACAATGTATCAGCCTACAATGGAATCTGCCCCAACTTATAGGGATTTTATAGCTAGGTGATCGCATCTGACTTCTCCAGTACATCTTCTCTAGGACTGTTATGCACAAGTACTTACGAAACAGAATTTAAATTATCTACCTTTTATTTCTCACGATTGTTGCCTTTATGTAAAGCAAGCATGTCAAACTCATGGCCGGAGGGCTGCATGCCTCGTTTATTTAAATGAGGCATGTGGTCTGCTGGCCGTGAGTGAGTTTGACATGCTTGCTGTAAAGCAGTATGTGCCTTTTTTTTTTTTTTAATATTCTTGTATAGAGTGCATAAACAGTGAATTTCACTTTGGTTTATAAAAGGGAGTTTTGGGTCTGATATCATTCAGCATTTTCACTCTGAAATCACATATTGAACCCAGTGCAAAAACTGTGGCGGAGAATCT